ATTACAATGACAAAATAGGAAAAAAGAAATAACTAATAAATTAGCCATTACCCATAAATGACTCATCTGGAGGAAGTATCAGCAAGCATCCCATAGAAAATTAAGTTTAAAGTGTATTTGCTGATGATGGTGACTAATTAAAAAAACATAAAACATAAACCTTTTGACACTCCAAATCAGACAATAAGAACGTTTCTCTCAGTTCCTAAGAAATTATCTCCAGGATTGGGGAGGTTATTGATGAAGATGTACTCCATGCGCGGGTCCCTTTTGTTGCACGAACTCAGCAATGCTTCGCTGTCAAGGCTGGCATTGATGGTCTTTTGGATATTTCGCGGAGATCATTTTGTGACACCAGTGAAGGTTTTCATGCCACTTTTCTTCCTTAGTTTTCTATTTCGTCAATCATATAATCTTTGTCGGACCATATAAGGGTCTTCTAAACCATTTTATTTTGCATTACATTGACAGCTATCCACAATCTTGCAAACAATTATCGTGAAGATTTCAAGTTGCCCAATTTAAAACTCGTCTTTAAAAACAGACAGGGGTTCTACTTTGTCATACCACAAAAAGATGTTCAAGGAAAGCTTCATAGCAAGTTCATTCAGGTTACAATTAAATCTTCGCTCCATTTCAGAAATTCTTCTTAGAAGTTGTTTCCGAGAGCTAATGCTCTGATGGCTTATGTCAGGTCATAAAACATGGGAAGAACATACATTGCTCAACTTTGGAGCTTGCGTCCGTAAGTGATTTTATCATATGGAATTCATAAATATGATCCTATGCATCACATCTGTGTGCATTTGGTCGTACTAGTAATTAAGTGTATGCATTGAAGCTTGATGGAATCATACTCCTGCCAAGTCAATTGTGAGGTATAGTGCTCCATATTGTCCTCTAGAAGAGAAGAGGAAATAGCCCTCTGTCAACATTTAGGGGATTCTTACGTGTTGTATGAGAGCAATCTTAACTTCTTAATTTTGGAAGGGAAAAATGTTGGCAAAAGTCAAGAAAAAAGATTACTTGAATTGATGGCCAAAAAGCATGACTTGAATGACTTCAACCGAAAAATATAACTTGGGAATTCTGATAACAAATGAAACTTTAAAATGCAGTTTTATTTGTTTTGTATGCTTCCGCACAACAAAGATATTGCCTCCTTCACAACTTTTGTCCTGGCTTTTGAAACTTTTCTTTTCTTCTTTCGCTTTGAAATTTGCAGCTGAACGCTAGGAATAAATCTGCCGCCGCAGAATGCTTTGCAAGAACAGAGGTCTGCCTAGAAGGTTGTTCTAATTATTCTGGCAGCAAAGATACCCACGGTCTTGAAGGCAGTAGTTCTGTTTATAATTGAATCCAACGTTAATCTAATAACCTCCCCCTTTTGTGTGGTTTTTTCTTCTGGAGGGGGGAAAGACTTACTATGGACATGATAATGCTCTTAATTACCGTTGGAATCTTAAATGAACATTTTGTGACATTGGTCAAACATGTTTACAAGATAAAATTGATTTTGCTCCATAAACTTCAAAATTTAATAGATTACCTTTTTGTCCCTAGATGTAGATATTACCTGTTGATTTCCTTGAACTCGTACAATATCTCGGATCTTTAGGGCAGTTTAGGTAGTATTTGAAAATTAACAGAACTTAGTTCGAAGAAAATTGCAGAACTTATGGATACGATTCGCGAGAATGTCTCTGTGCTGACAATGCTTGCTGAGGTCTTGTGCCTGTTGGATATGATTATAAATTCATTTGCTCATATGATATCAACGAAGCCTGTTGATAGTTATACAAGGCCAGAGTTTACAGGTAATTGAATTGGCAAGATATATCTAACATTTTTGAAAGTTCTGATAGCTCCATGGGCAAAATTCTTAACCCGTAATTTACTCACTAGAAAATGGACCGATGGCAATTGATGCTGGTAAGCATCCAATCCTCGAGAGTATACACAATGACTTCGTTGTACGTACTGTGTATATTGTATATTAATATCCGCTTCTATTTCTATTTTTTTTTCCTGAGTATGAAAAAAAATATGCACGATTATCTGGGTAAATGAGTCTATCTTTCACCTTGCAGGCCAATAATATATTTCTATCCGAAGCCTCAAATATGGTGATCGTCACAGGCCCCAATATGTAACATCACTTCTAATTCAAAGATTACTGTCAAGTAAAAGAGTATTTGTGAAAGAAATGATAAAATTACATCTAATTGATTGCGAAAGCCTTTAACTGATCTGCTATAGCTGATCAAGGGTGATATTGTGTCCCAGGAGCGGAAAGAGTACTTACCTTCAACAAGTGTGCCTCATAGTTATTCTTGCTCAAGTTGGATGTTATGTTCCTGCTCGCTTCTCAACTCTGAGGGTCGTTGATCGGTTGTTTACTAGGATGGGTGCAGTTGATAATCTTGAATCAAATTCCAGCACGGTACATTGCGGGGCCTGCAATTGAGCTATTTTGCTATATTCTCTAAATGTCACGTGGTTTTTGACTTTCCATGGCAAAATCATATTCATTGGCTCTTTACTTATAAACGTTGTCTGGATGTGTAGTTCATGACAGAGATGAAAGAGACAGCTTTTATCCTGCAGAATGTTTCGCAAAGGTAGTTAATCATCTTCACCCATCTGGGTAGAAATGGTAGCTTCTTTCTAAATAATTTGTTGGATACAGGAGTCTAATTGTTATGGATGAACTCGGGAGGGCTACTTCTTCCTCCGATGGCTTTGCAATTGCATGGAGCTGCTGCGAGCATCTTTTGTCTCTTAAAGCGTAATTTTTTTCTTGATTCTCAATTGTTATAAAATCATAAATCAACAAGTTGTCCCTTGTTTTTTTTAATACCATGGATTTATAAAATGAAGGTTACTCTTCGCATTCCTTTTGGTCAATTAGCAAACAAATGACTTCAACATTTTCAGAAAGGAATTTACATTATAATGTTTGTTGGTAGACCTGTTAATTTTAAGATAGCGATTTCTGCATGCACCAGCTATGGAACAAAATACTGAGGTTCATTCATTGGTCTCTCTACCCGTCTGACCAAGTTTTGTGTGTGTATATATTTTCTCCTCAGTTATACCATATTTGCCACTCACATGGAAAACCTATCAGAATTAGCAACAGTCTATCCAAACGTGAAAATCCTTCACTTTCATGTTGAGTTGAAAAACAGCCATCTAGATTTCAAGGTTGTAAATCTATTTCTTTGTTCTTACATTAAGCAGTGTGTTGATGATCTACGAACTAACGTTCTTCTTTCCCTAGTTTGAACTTAAGGAAGGACCAAGACATGTCCCACACTATGGCCTTCTCTTAGCAGAAATGGCTGGTTTACCGAGTTCAGTTATTGACACAGCCAGAATGATCACATTCAAGATTACAGAAAAGGTGATTATTCCCGCAAGGTGGTCTAGAAATAGGAATTAAAATCTCTACATTTTTATTAGCTACAATTCAGCGTTGGTGCGTAAATATATAAAGACTAGATAGAAATTCCAAATCCTACTCCCCCTTCATCAGAAATTACAGATTATTGGTTTACGAAATTGGATTTATAGCTGCCTATGCGTGTTCAGGAAGTAAAGAGAATGGAAGTCAACTGCTTGCAGTATCATCCTGTTCAGAGGGCTTACCTTGTTGCTCAACGCTTGCTATGCCTAAAATATTCCAATCAAGACGAGGATACTATTCGACAAGCGTTGCAAAATCTCAAGGAATACTACATCAAGGACGGGTTCTAGTGTTGGCTTCGACTGGCTGTCAGTGGTCTGCGCTCTTGAACCCATTTTGGTCTCGTGCTTGTCGAGCAAATTCTGTAGATGGCGAGTGAAAAGGCCAGAGAACACAGTTTCCCTTGAGAATTATTATTTTAAAGCCGCGTAAATTTGGCTTTGCAACTTCTAATGGAATCTGAAATCAAGCACGTGTTTGCCGAAATGACGACTATTTTAACGGGAGGATGAGGGGTGAACGACAACAGCTTACTTCATAGAATACTAAATCAGGACTTTATCATAATTAAGTTCTTAACGTAGTACTTTTTTTTTTTTTTCTATTTCAACACTAAATATTTTAAAAGCCCCAATTTAATATAAACAGTTTTATAAGATTTTTAATTGTCCTCTCAAGAATACAAAAAAGTAGTGTTGTTTCCATCTGAAGACATTATAATATTAATCATATGGTATACGTGCAAGCAAATAGAAATATTATAAGTACATTTTTTGGCAGAAAACACTGGAATGAACCATGAACGAAAATATTTTTGCTCCGCTACTTTTTTTGACAAATAGTTATAAGCCATATAGCTTTACCTAAATAATCAGTAACATAAATCCGTGGGAATGCAAGCCTAACACAAATCGTATATTTACGCATCGCCATACTTGGAAATGGCATTCTTCTAGTATTACGTTATTTATTTTCCAATCAATCATTCAAATGGCCTACCATCGATTTGAACGCTAATAGATCACAGGCACAAGCAGAGCAATTTAGTGGAAATGAGAGCTAGAATGAACGTATGGACCTCTACAATCCCGGCAGAATCACAATGTTGGGTCAAAAAAATTTGCCCCAAGCAGCAGGCTAGTAACTATAACAATGCTAGTCACGAAATTTTATATTCAGATGGGATAAACGTAATCAAACATACAAGCTCGTAATGGAAGATGGATATCAATAACTGATATTAAAAAAGTGTAGCCATCAGATAGAAATTAATTTAGCTGAGCCTGTCCTTGATGTGCAGTCGCAGTCATAATCTTCAATACGACCCAGAAAAAAATAGGCAGTCCATCCTAAGTTCCAAATCCGAACCAAGGAAATTAGTGAAAGGATCAAGGAAGCATTCCTTTATTGGTCAAGGGCTCAGCTCCAAAAATTACATACTCACAGAAGGAGTGCCCGTTGGCCAAAAAAACAAAAGACAAAAGCAAGAAAGAAGGGGTGCGCAAACAAAAAATAACAATTAACAGACAAATAGCAGGAAGGAAAAAAAAGAATCTCAACCAAGGAGTCAACTTAACAACAACCAAGACAGCATATAAGGAAACAAAAAAGGTATGATCCCGCATGTTTTTATAGCAAAACAAACCAATGTCCTAAAACTCATACAGGAGCTATCTAGTTAAGAAAATAGCCGTTGGGTTTCCAGGAGATGGGGGATTCTGACTTAGAAGAGAAACTAAAGAACCCGCTTTAGCAACAGCATCAGCATCTCCAGCAGACAAAATTTCCACATCTTCAAGACCTATCTGTCTCTTGATTAAGTCCAGGTTTTCCTGAAGAACCTCAATCTCACCAAATGGTAATCTCAAATCCAGAGCCCGAGCCCCAAGTGCAATTGCTTCCTCCTTCTTAAACTTCAAGAAAGGCATACAAAGCTTTTGGATTTGTTTAAAATTGGAGGACTGACCAACAGAACTCTTTTGTAAAGCCTCAATAATCTCTCCATCCGCAGCAAAAGTACGGGTTTCATGATTAAATTTGCTCTGAAGAATTCTCAGGCATTCAGCTTTCCAACCATCAAATTGTTCATTCACATATATCAAGCCAGTTAACTTGCTGTCCGGTGATGCAACTTGAGCACCTGCTTTATTGGCCTTCTTTGAACCAAAAAGTTGCTTTTGAAGCAACTTCCTCAACAAAACAATTGAGTCCTGCAAATATTTATTGGCACTCTTTAGGGTTAGATCCGGAGCATCCCCAGTAGGCCAACCCGCATTCACTACAAAACCATCCTTCTTCAAAAGCTCTCTCCAAACATATTCAGCATAATGTGGACATATTGGTGCTATAAGACGTGTTTGAACGTCCATAAAGCGCTGCACTAGTTCACGATTATAGCCTCCAACTCCACATGAGTATCTATACTCATCCCTGGCAGTCTGAAGGTCATAAAAGCCAGTCTTGAGAGCTTCTCGGAACATGTAATTCCTATAATGCTGCTCAGTTGTTTTGACAGCAATATTTATTTCATTGGCAAACACACGATCAGCATAAGTAGATGGAGGGCCAGCTCTCATTGATGATTCAGAGGCTAAAACATCTTCATACCATGCAAGCTCTTTGGTAAGCCTGAGAATTGCAGCATTTGCAGTCTCAAACACAAAATTTGCATCATCAACACCATCACCAGCATCAGCCAAAGAGAATCGCGTAGCATCAGCAGAAAACTCCTCAATTGCCTGACGCAAAGTCCTGAAATTTCCAGTAGATTTAGACATCTTCTCCGAATTGAGCATGATGTGGCCATTGCATCTAAATCCACGAGGCCAGTGATGCTTGGGCAGAATTGCAGTATGATTGTAAATGCAGAACGTAAGATGATTCTGGATCAGGTCCTTACCAGAAACCCGGAGATCAAAGGGATACCAATAGTCAAACTCAAGTTTCATTTTGTGGAGAATAGATGAAGAGATATAAGTTGATTTAGGGTACGGTCCACCACAGAATATATAATCCCAAACCTCATCAGTCATTTGTTCAGGTTTAACAGGAGACGAACCTGATCCATACATGTCTCCATTCTGTAAAATATGAGCGACAGTGTAGTAAGCCATATAAAGAGTGGAATCAGATAGAGACTCAACCAGGTATTGTTCATCCCATGGTATGCGTGTCCCCAGACCAAACGATCGTGAGCAAGCCCACTGATTTAGCCAGTCCAAAGTATGCTCAAAGCCATGTCGTGTCTCATCAGAATAAAGATTCATACTTGACAGGCACTCCTCAGCTAGCTTCTTCCATTCCGTTTCTCCATATGTAATGTACCATTGATCTGTAAGAGCTACAACACATTCATCACCAGATCGTGATATCACCTGCTTCTCTGGTTCACTGTAAACAATAGCCTGACCTGTCTCTAAAAGTTTAGTTCTAATCAATGGTTTGGCTTCCTGAACTTTCTTTCCTGAAAACTCTCCAACAATCATTGTTCCTTCAGTGAATCCTTTCAGGTATGTTTGCTTCTTGGCTTCTGCAAGTTTTTCTTTCTCATTCTGACTTTTTATTTTCATCTGCAAGCAAACTGTCTCTGCAGACTTATTTCCAAACTGTGGAACTTCAATAATAGGGACTATTTCAAAGGGCAATACCCATTCATCCTTGACACCATACTTTGCTCTGAATGCTGGTTTTGACTTCAAGTCATGCAAGGCCATGTAGTCATCAGGGGCATCACTAGGCACACTAGTAACTATCCCAGTACCTTTGTCCATTAAAATTGACAACATTGGAAGAGCATAAATGACCTCGTTCAATGAAAGAGGAGACTTCAATGGCAAGCCAATCAAGTCATAACCAGTCAGGTCAAGCAAGCAAGTGGGTTTCTCAGGGACTCGTGAGTGATTCTGATAGGCAAGATTAAGCGCTGCTCTTTTTGAGAGAATAAACACATCAGTTTCATTGACTTCAAAGGCTCCATAATTTCCATCAGGCAAAACCCATGCATTAGTTTGGCCATACATAGTCTCAGGCCTCAATGTCGCAGCAGCCAAATATACTTTTCTTCCCTCCAGCACTCCAAACTTAGTGGGAAAAGGTTGAAGGACCTCCATCTTTATGATAGTGTACTCTTGGGGCTGAACCCCTTCACCACTAGCTCTATCATGATCTGCACATGGCTGGCCATCCAAGGGAGAAAATATTGTATATCTAATGTCTTTGACAACCTTGCCCATGGACTTCAACTTCCTCATCTGCCATCTAACAAAGGAGTCGAAATATGGGTTCATATCTGTTGTGATGAAGGACCTCCTCCAGTCGCAACCCAGCCCAAATGCCTTAAGGTCCTCGACAGCCAGTGGAGGAAAGTAGGACAACCATTTATAAGAATCCTGGAATTGAGATATCTCACTATCAGATATGCCAAAGCTACGCATAATTTCCCACTGAAAGGCCTGTCCAGTTGATTTTGAAGCAACCTTGGACTTCTTCCCTTTAAATTTACCTGGAACTGCCCCTCCACTGTTATCCGCATTCTTTGAAGGCTCATCTTCTTGTTCCTCTACTTCACTAGGAAAGACAGGTGGATTTCCAAATTGCTGAATCTCTCTTGCAAGTTTATCAGCTGAGGCCTTGATGGGCATACCAGTGCAATGGAAAGCAAATGGCAGCAACACATTGGCACCTCTCAATCTATGATAAGCTGCCGCAAACTCCAATTTTGAAAGTGAGAATGCATGCCCAAGATGTAAGTATCCATTCATGTAAGGAAAGGGAAAGTTGCCGAAGAATTTTTCGCCAGGCTCAGGAAGCTTCTCACAAGGTTCGGCCTTGAAAACATCCTTTTCATCCCACCATTTTCGAACCTTGACCTCAATCTCTCGCAACCTGTCCCTCCTTGCAAAACTTCTACCACTTTCAGTCGCCATACTAGGAATCTGACGGCAACTGCAGCAAAACAATTATGCCACAATAATTATAGCTCAAAAAGAGTACTTGATATCAAAATGACCTATAGAATTCAGATCCAAAATGCCAAATCCAACTATATATAAAATCAGGAGAAAGAATTAACGCATACTTTGAAAGAAATATTATTATTGACAGTGGAGAAACTTTCGCATCTAATTCACGAAAATTCAATATGCACAAACAAGATAGATAGTTCCACCGCACTCATCCCCACTATTACTTGTTCTAGGATACAGATTTGACAACTCTTTTCTGATACTGAAGATGAATGTATTTGTTTAGCATTTATACGCAAAGAAAAGCTATCCAAGATTGCATGAACGTCGAGTTAAATCATGAACAAATTAAATGCCTCAACAGAACATATTGAATTCCCGCCAAGCTCGGAAAATCATCAACTTACTAAAATAGCAAGAACAAAATAGTCTCATATCATATTGATACCACAAATAAGGCCAGCACTATCATTGACACCTCAGTCACCGTTGATCTTTTTTTTTTTTTTTAAATGATATCCACCGAGGAATTTCCTGCATATATGATATTACTTTGACCGGGAATTCGCTTCCCTTTACGAACCAAAAACCATTTCCATGCAATTCCTCCTCACCATTCGAACCTCAGCTTTACAGTTGCTGCAGCAAAAACTTCCCACTCACCTTTTAGCGTTATAAAAAAAGCACGCGTGTGAAAAATACGTCACTTCAATAAACAACCCCACATACCAAACATAGTTAGATCCACCCTTTTGCGAAGTAGATGGTGGCCGCAGTCAGTTGGTGACTAAGATCAAGTGAAGAAAAATCATAGCTTTACCTGAAGAATTATTTCACCTACGTATCATTCATGTTCCAAAACTAAGGACAGATTGAGGAAGGGATTCACCTGAGATGGAGGCGTCTAATGACCATACACAGAAGGGAATCGATATGGGAGACCAGCAGAGAAGAAACCAGAAAAAGAAGGGTTTGTCCCTTCTATGGGCCGGATCTCCGGGTGGATAGCCCTAGTTGACAAATTTGGGCTTTGTTTGTGGGTCAAATCTCCACAAAGATCATGGGTCAAAATGGCCCAAAATTAATCCTCACAACCCACAAGCTCAATGTACGAAACGCAAACAGTTAGAGGACGATTTTTTTTTTTTTTTACCAGCAACAGAGGGAGCACAATAAGACCATCGCCGTATAATATTAAGGGATAATTAATCTGCAAGTCCTTATAGTTTCAACCAATTTTGAATCAGGTCCCTATAATTTTTTTTCTTTTTATCAGATCCTTATAATTTCACCTGTTTTTAATTAGGTCCTTGCATTTATTTTTCTTTTTATCAAGTTCTTATAAGATCACCTTATTTTAAGTAAGTCCCTGAATTTTTTATTCTTTATTTTATAAATTCTAATAGTACTATTTTATAAACATAAAATAGTATATATTATGTAATATTAGTTTATAAACAATAATATTCTAAAAATAATGAATTATTATAATAATTTTATTTTTTTAGCAAAAAAAATTAATTGTTTTAAAAAAAACTTTCCTTAATTAATTAATTATATTACTATCTTTTATTATATAATTATTAATATTTTATATTTCAGTACTAATTTATTTAATTAAGTTCATATTTAATTAATAAATAAAAATTAAAACTAGATGGACCTAATTAAAATTTTAGTGAAATTATAAGGACTTAATAAAAAGAAAAATAAATGCGAGGACCTAATTAAAAATAGATGAAAGTATAAGGACCTGATAAAAAGAAAAAAAAACTATAAGGACCTAATTCAAAATTGGTTAAAACTATAAGAACTTCCAGATTAATTAACCCTAATATTAATAATGAATATCTCATTCCCAGCAAGTTAACACAATTTGCTAGATTCTTTTTACATTACACACAGAAAACGGCGTCGAACTGGGTTTACTTCTTTTTTTCTTTTTTTGGCCCTGATTAGGATTGCTTTTGGGGTAAAATAAAATCATAAAAGTTTTGGTAACAACTGCATTGATTTTATCATTTTAATGATAAGTGTTAAAAATTTTGAAGTATAATTATATGATGTCATGTTACATTATAAAATTACAAAAATGATACCTATATACTTCAAAATTATATGATTATCATATAATTGACAGTAAAAAAGCCACAAGACTACTTTTGCTAGTTTTTTAAAGGAAAAAATTAAGATATTTGAGTTTAGATCCTCTATATTTTTTAATCAAAATATATAATTATTAAACAATACTGTTTTTTTTCCGTTTTTCATGTAAAGGCACCTCAAAAGTCATGACCAGTAAAAACAGTTTATAATTTCTAATCGTTCACCGTGAAATAAACGTTGTTTAAATGAAAATTTTAAGGTGACTTTTTTAATAAATTATATAGTTAATAAAATAATAACCCTCTGTGGGTTTAGTGGTAGAAACTACACCTTTTCGCCTAAAAAAAAGGTTTGATTTCCCACCATAGTGTTTAGAGAAGGATCCTAGAATGAGTGTGTCTAGATTAATGTCTGAAAGTATAATACTCCTCCGGTCTTTATTATAAGACCCCATTTGACTTTTTATTTGGTCCTAATTATAAGACCCCAATCCATTTTGTCTCTTATATTTATGCATTTTTTTCCAAGATAATCCTTCTAATAATGATAGTTTTAGCCAATATACTTAATTAACAAGGATATTTTAGGAATGACAACACTTATTTATTATAAATAACCAACTTAACTTACTTCCTTAATCTCCTTAAATAAGTCAATTGGGTCTTATAATTAGGACTGGAAGAGTATAAATTTGTCCTGCTCCACACTAATATCACCTTACAAGAGTCATTTAAGCGTCATACCCTTGACTTAGGTTAAACCCAAATCCTTACCTAAAATTTTTTTAACAAAAAATAAAATAAAATAATAGGATACAGTATTTGAAAGTTTTTTTAACTTCTACCACGCCAATCATACAAATGCTGACTAATTTTACGGTGTATGAGGCGCATATATAGTGACAGGTGTGAAATAATCTAGGATATCATGCCACTGCATTGCAGATCTAATTGCACAACGCTGGAAACCATTTTCGTTTTTTTTTTAATTCAAACATTTTCGTATTGATGACCTGGCTTGTAAATTACAAAGGCAGAAACATATTATACACAAAATTCTTGAACAAAAAAACATTCTCTCCAATTTTCTACACTCTCTATACACTAGCTGTATATTCGATATGCCTTTATCCCTACCAGTTTTGATTTTTAGGACGCTCGAACAAGTTTCTTTGAGATGCTAAAAGCAACATACAGGATCAAAACCATCACGACCTTCTTTGAGGCCAGAATCCTTAGGTTTACTCTTAGACCGCATTTCTCATTAGTCCAAGAGAGGCGGCCCCCAGAAAGAGAAGCAAGAACCAACAGCACAGAAAAACACCTTCAGGCCTCGGAAGGCCCACAGACACGGGCGACATCAGTTGTCACCTCCACATATGACCATTTAGAATCCACTTGACTGCTCATGCTTGGTTCAGTCCAAGACTTTCGTTCAACCATGCAGACACCCGAACGAGCAGTTTTGCGAGCCACGCAATCTCATCGTTGGATATGGGGCGTTTCATCCAGTCACCCTTGTATTGAAAATCGGTAAATGAGTGTTTGCCGGCTCTTCTTGGCTTGAATATCTCATCATGAGATTGCTGATGCTGCCTTGGTTCCGGCGCGGTTGAAGGTGACTTGATAATTTGCCCCTCAAATATGAACCCCAGCCTTGCTTTTAATGAGTCTATGCATTGGAGGCTGGGCACGAGATTATCACCAGACATTGCTTGCAACTCAGCTTCTGCACGCAATATAAACAACTGCAATGGCAAACACCAAAATGAGAAACATAAGCCATGTATGTTATGATCACTGGAGGAGGAAAGATAAATTATGCAGGCACAGGATAATAATGAACCTGAAGCAAGGGTTATCCACGTTCTTTAAAAGGTCAATAAGCTCTTTTGATGATGTCAAGGTGTCTAACACCTGATAAAACATATTAAAAAGTTAATTTTTCTCACGCAAGAATGAAAAATCAGAACTAAAAAGAACAAATGGTATGACGAATAACTTAAGAGAGAATCAAGCCTCAAGACTCACAATGACAAGAGCTTAAGACATAATAGCAAGTCCCATCAGATTTATATTTTAAAAAAAAAAAAAACCACACATCATAAAGCGTTAAACATAAATTTGATACGATTTGAATTCCCCTCGATATGCCAATGCAAAACCGGGGGGGGGGAAAAAATCATCATACTCATAGACACTATAAAGACATATAGCATTCCTCATTTTTGCCCCAACACTCTTCATGATTAGAAAATCACCGGCTAATGAAGCAATGCCCAATGTTCCCTTTTAAAGCCATTGGTCTTGAAAACTTCTAAAACGAATTGAAGAATATTCAGATGGTAACTTCCAAACCTTTTGGAAGAAATCCAAGGATATGACCCATAAAATGAAGTAGATTTTGAGAAATAGTTACAGTTGACAGTGACACTGACTCGTGCAAGACAAAAAGTAGTCCATGACAAGCGTTAAGGTAAACCATAAAAAATCCCAAAAAACTTGAACATCCCCCGCCCCCGGGGGGGGACATAACAGAAAGAAAAGGAAATACCTTTGGTTCCCAATGATTGCAAATAATATGAATATAGAGAAAAATATTATGATTGTGATAAAGAAGCACACCTTAAGCACCATCTGGACTATTATCTCAACATCACTGTGAAGGAACCTGTGAGCAAATCCAATAAAATGCATAACCAAGGAACTATAGTATAAGTAGTTCGATAGAACATAATCCTGCCACTGAGGTGTATATACACCAGCTCTAGACAGAGTGTTCTCCTTCCTTTCATTTGTAGCAGATCCAGTGGTAATTGCATCAAGTTCAGAAAAATCATCCGAGATTATGCCCAAGGTTCCATGTAATTAATCCAAATATGAAATACCTGAGATGCATTCTTAATGGAAGTTGCCACGGGCCAAAACAAAAACGTCCTCAACAAAAACCGGTACAGAGGTCTCTGCATCCTTGGGTTCCAATATCCAAGAGAACGCACAGAAGGGAACTTAGATGTTACATCCTTTGACTTCATGGTATCCAATGAACCGATAGACCCCAATCTAGGACTCCCACAATAATCAAACATTCTCATGACCTTCAGGGCTGCAAAGTACTGCAATTCAAGTACCTCACAAACAATTTAACCACCTCCCCCAACCCTGGCGTTGGAGGTGTCTCTCCTAAGACTGAACGAAATGGAAACGATACTCCAAAAGACTTGCAACAAATTCACAGGCAGGGGAAAAAATCATTATCCCACCCACAAATGTACGAAAGTATCCCCAAAAACTCCGCTCGCATCATAAGTGTACCGTCACAACCCGAAGGATAATGAAGAAGTGAACTGCGATATGGTTGGTGTGCATTTAGATCATATGTAGGCACAAATGCACGCAGATAGCATAGAGAAGCCGTAAGTACAGTTACACTCCGTTTTATGTTCAACCCCGCGCTTAGGGTTGGAAAAACCCGGAATAGACGAAGTCCAATTCT